CAGTACCAAATGGGATTAGCATGGGCGAAGTTCGGGGTGGTCGAGCGGACCGGGGTGTATGGGACGGGATATCCAGCCAGTCACTCACTATGGCAGATGGTGAATTATATACCGAGTACTTCAGATGGCATCCATTCGGGATTAGCGTCTTGACGCTGTTAATATCTCTTTCCACTAATTATCTGGAGTACCTCTCGTAGTTGAGAATGAGTCTTTCAAATTCTTCAAGGTCATGGGGGAAGAAGATGGAGAAGAAGAAGCCGTTTCCATGCCCGGTTTCTCCCTACTCCACTTGCGTCTTTTCCCTGAGCCACACATACTGCAGTCAGTATCCAACCAGCATTGCTGTTTCCCACGTCGGAGTCGTGTCCTCGGCCCGGTCACGTTACTTGGCTGGCCGCCAGAGGCAGTCACGGGGATTCAAGAGTCAAGAGAGATATCTGAGCGAATCAATGCAGTTGTCATTGGTCATGCAGAGGCCAGTTTGGGTAAGGTCTGGCTATGAAGTGGATCCCACCGTAGTGGGGAGGGCAGCTGCGTCACACTCTCGGAATTTTTTCCGTTTCTTTCATTCTTCCCCTTTTTTCTTTTTTTTTTTCTTTGGGGAACCTGAGTAGGAATCTATTCTGACCAATCTCTTGCTTTTGCACCATCCATTGCGGGCCATTTTACTGCTTTGGGCGTATGCCGCTTCGAGAAAGTCTGAATAGCTTTATTGAACCAGGGTAAACTTCGACTGATCACTCTTAAAGACGTCTTCTAAGTTCTAATCCGAAGTCTAGGTGATAGCGTCAAGGAGGTATGAATGGTATTTTGTATGAGATATATACTTTCAGGTATTGTTGTCCAGTGTTCCACAGCATGCAGGAGATCCGTCCTCGTTCCTCCATCTGCCGTACCGAGGTAGGTATACATTTCTGCCTTAGGATGACGATCCAGACGATGATGATAGTCACCTTATACTTGAAATCGGCACACAACTGGCTTCATAAAAATCTATTGCAAGGACCTGAATACCATAATCGCGGTATGAGGACTATGGAACTACCTAAGCCCGTGAGGGATTCCGGGTAAAAATTATTGGATATAACATGGTAGCAGTCATATTGAAAGAAACTTCGTGAATTGCAAGTCAGCTCTATTGCTGGGCCTAGGACTCAATCAGGTCCATTGCAACCTCTTACACTCATTACATGATCAAGGCGCGCTTCTATAAATCGCTCAAGACACTCTGTAGGCTCAGCGTACTCTTCAGAAGCTGTTAGCCTAGATAGTTAGAGCCTATCTATGAGGCTCGAAGCCTGGAAGCTGTCTCCGTCTCACCGTCTCCAGACTCCCGGCCCATGGGGCATCATCCACCCCCTTTTGCCCAAATTGGGATCCGAGCCGATCATGAACCCGATGGCGAATTGTAAACTACCTAATAATGAGCAATCTGGTTTAAGACAAAATGATCAGCCCCACGAGGACTAGAGGTTGTCTCCAGGGCACTAGGGTCCCCTGTCCCCGGGTCCCCGCCAAGTGCATCACGAGCAAATCTTCGTCCCAGACTCCAGCTTGGCTAGCTATCAATCTACTTCAAGTGCCTCGACCTTGCAAAAAAGGGGATACTTGCGAATGAGATTGACGTGTTGGATTCACTTTTACCCATTTGTATCATGAACCAATATCAGCGGTGTTATCATTGGACCATTGATCCTGATTCATATGAGATTATCCATGTACTCAATATTCATCAAAATATTTAATAAGAAGCTAATAAAAAAATGCCACGGAACTTATCCGCTTTTGCAGCTAGAACTTAAACAAGAGACTATTTGCGGCGTACCATTCTGGAAGCTGGAGGACATTGGATGATGAATATGAAGCGCAATGCAGCAGGGGTGTGCATAGGGCCAGAGGTCTCGACTCTAGGCCCAAGACACCAAACTCGGGATCCGATAAACGGAGCTTTGATGCTTTTGTTGTAGAACCCCATATGCACTATCCGAACGGCAAAATGAATCGGGAGTTCATTGGAGTGATAATCCCCAGATGTAGATGGTCCTGCTCAGTTCAAACACCAAAAGTCCTAACTGGTTGTTCTCTTCAATAATACTCCGTACAGTTCATCTGCGCAACTGTTGACCATTTAGCATTAGTAATAACTGCCGAGATTCGGAGTTTTGATTCTTAACGGGTTGGTGTAGCTTATGTACTGTGTCGTCATTCCTGACGATCCCTGTTGTCCAACTCTGAGGAGCAACAATACATTGATTGACAGACGCAGCTAGAGAAAAGAAAATTCTTGTAAATTGCCTCAAGGGTATAATAACAGGCATTGGGCTATCCTCGCATGTAGCATGCCATTTCTTCTTGTCAATATTTTTTCTCTCGACTGAGGTGTAGCCCATCAAGCCGAGCCAAGCTCTACGAGTATCAAATAGTCCGGAGTAAGAGAAGAAAAAGAAAGAAATCTGGGGAAACTTCGAAACAGAGAGCAGTCACACGTTTGTATCAGGATTCAAGAGTCAGTGAACGGGGATATGATTAATAAGTTAAGAATTTAGAAACAAGGAAATCGGCGAAAGCCAACGCCAGCCAGGAACAACAATCACGAGCCAGAGTCGTTACAGAGAGAAGAGACTCGGTGAGGAGCCTGAGGCAAACGGAAAACACCGACATTTGTGGCATGGGTTGATGAGGCCCACCCTTGGACGATCTCAGCCTAGCCTACCTAGGTAGGTTCCTTTACTCCGTACCTTAGGTAGGTACCTTAGGTGGCCGTCAGTCTCACGAGGGCATGGGTTCTGACCCAATCAAAACTGAACCGGCGGATACTTGAGTGGGACTAGTGTGGATACTGTGAGCCAATCAGATATGGCCCCAAGGTACAGTCACCAACGTACGGAGTAGGTTCAAACAAAACTCCATAGGTCAAGGGTCAAGGCAAGAAAAGCTCATTTTAATCATGTTCAGTGACGATATGGAAGGAAGATTGTATGGTAAATCCTTCTCTACTACACGCGTATGTTGTCAAGCCTGTATATTGGAGTATTCAGTTTCAGACCGTCCCCGAAGGATACTTCCAGGTATGTTCAATGCTCGCGTGCTGATTAGTTTCCTGGTCCATGGAAGGTCCCTTTTGGATCTTGAGCAAAGTTATGTCCAATGAAAATGGTCAGTATATATTCTGCAAGGAGATGAATAGGACTCCAAATTTGAACCCATGATACTATTACCTGGACCATTTCCCAGTGCCGAAAGTCGCTCCTCCGTCCCCAACCGTCGCACGGCAAAGGCGGCAAAAGGCGGTCCGGCGGGTCAACTTCAAAAGCATCCCGCAGACTCTTTCCGGTCTCCATCAGATTTCAGAACCTTCATGACTGGGGAATGGAGATCCGGGGGGACCACTGACCAGAGTTGGTCTGCATGGTCAACTTGGTGAACTGACACCGAATCTCATTCCGAAAGGATACAAATAACGCGGCCGCGGTGTCCGCTGAAGATCCGGTGGACGGCGTTTCTTCTGTCATTCCTCTAAGCATTCCTGATCACTTACTCTGTGTAGCTGTACTTAGACCAGAATACATCCTGCCAGTGAGTGCCTTACTGCCTCCTGAGCATTGACCCCCTCAGTTAGTTGAGTCAATTGCATCTGACGCACAGATACTCGACTCGCAGTCTCTCGGTCGAGTCGTCGGAGGATGTTTATAGGTGCTCGCATTGTCTTTGACCCGGACAGTAGAGACTATCTCACGCAGTTCTCACTTCCGCACACGGTAAGATAATGATCCTGTAGCAAGCTATCTGAGCTCTGGCCTCTGGCCTACGTCTACCGTCTCGTCCACGTAGTGTCCATACTCTAGAGAGGTACCTCGATAACAAAATAACAATCCCACAGCCACAAATTTCAAATAACCCCCGCCAAAAGCACCATCGGACATCTTCCCGAACTCAGAAGCGGCAATCCGAAGTTGTATCGATCCACGAGTGATCGAGAATAATTACTTCAAAAGGAGACTTGGCTTCGGCTTACCCCACGTTTTCCTGTGCTGACGTCGGCGGTAACCCGATGCCCAGCTGTCAGGTCGATTCAGGTGGCTAGTCCTAGATCGACATACAGAGCATCAATGATATCAAGGATGGCATCCTTTGTGACTGATAACAATGACTAAACTCAGCACTATCAATATGGTACCCCACACTTGGATCACTTGAAGCTGGGGTGCTAAGAGAAATAAGGCGAGCTAAGGTATCTTCTTCATGAAATGGTCTACAGAGACAGACAGCTGATCTTAATGGTAATAGTGTATCAGTGTTTGCCAGACAGAATACTCGGTAAGAACGAGCCATGTCCTGACTTAAGTCAAGCTACCTTTCGATTGAGTCCCAGCACCCTGATGGGACCGCTATTGAGATTGATCTACCCCAAGGACCTCTTAGAGAATCTTGAATGCATGGTAGGAGATCAGCATAGCCCGTAATCAAATCAAAAGAGACTATAACAATGCCCAATTTGGAATATATGTACTATATGTGTACATTTTTACATGCAATATCATCATACGACAGGACGATGCCACCCTAATAACATCTCCGTTAATGATATGTGCCAGCAGCACGGATTCAATATGGCTAGTCCTAGTTACCCTAACCTAATCAATAATACAATCGCACGACTCCGGTATGCCTAGCACGAATGATAATCTATTCTAGCTTCTGCTCTGGATCGGAGCAGTCACTGAATTCTAGCAAGCCCAGAACTCGCACAGACTCAGAAATGTTAAAGGGATCATAGTAACTCATTCATTCATTTATAACGCAAGTCAACTCAGACCATACAACGTCCAACAGGATATCTCTGAAAGGGCAACTTTCATAACACGAAGAAAGCAAAAGAAAAAATCAGGACCGTACTGTGCTCATGGGGAATATCAGAGAACAAACAAGGACACGAGGAAGGAGGGGAAAATAAAACTAATGATAAGGCAGAAAACACAGCATCAAAACCACGACTTCTAGACACCACCACGTCCCATCCGTTCTATGGAACCCATAATACCGCCAACACCGCGACCTGGAGTAAAGACGGCAATGCCCGACTTGCCTCCGCTATGGCCTCTGAGATGCCGGCCCGCTGGTGCGCCAATCCTAGGGATCCTCTTCTCCCCGCTGCCAGAACCTGTGCTAGGAGGCCGGATACCACTGGAGCCGCTGCGGCCGATACTTTTTCTGAACTCTTCTGTTGACTCTACCGTGGCGGGCTCTGGCTCTGGTGTTTCATACTCCGCACTCACAATGGGAGACTCGGGGGCGCCGGACGGCTGTGGCGCGTTCTGCTGAATTGCCAGCCATTCATCCACAGCGGCGACGAGCTCTCCCTTTTCTGCTCTCTCTACCTTCAACTCGGCATGCAACCGTTCGTTGTCCTGCTTGAGGGTTGCCATCTCTTGCTGCAGACCCTTGATTTGGGCCTCCAAAACGTGTTTCTCTGCCTCGTGCTCGTCATTCTGATGGGCCACGATGCTAGCATCAGGGCGGGAAGTCCCCGACAAAGCAGCATCGCGCTCGTTTTTCAGCCGCTCATTCTCCTCGCTGACAGCTTTGCATTTGTTCTCGGCTTCCCGCACGCGCTTCTCCCAGCGGGCTTCGTAGCTCTTCTTCAAAGCAGCAACCTTGGTTTCATGTTTGCTTTTGTACAAGGTGTGAAGCTCACGCGCAACCTTTTCGACGGCATCTTGTACTTCCCTTGCGGTCTCCTCGGCAGTGGTCGTGCACTGTGCACTCCCGTGGTCGCAAGTATCACTAGGAGCTGACTTACGCGCAGCCGATAGCTGGCTCTCCAACTCGACCATGCGCCTTTCCAGATGTTCCCGGCCTTTCTCCGCCTCTTCGACCTTGCTCATAAGCCGCTCCTTTTCCCGCTCACCCTCAACAATATCTGCCCTGACAGTTCGCAAGACGTCTTCCATCTCTTGACCGCGCCGCTGCCATTCGGCTTGCTCAATTTCAAGAGCCTCTTTTGCCGCAGCTTCGTTACGGACTTCCTCTAGAGCTTCTCCAACCCGCCGTTCAGCATCCGCAACAGCATTCTTCAGGCTGGAGACTTCCGCCTCTTTCCCGCTCAGCGTTGCTTTGAGTGAGGATATCTCAGAGAGGAACCCGGATTTCAAAGATTCCAACTCCCGGGGGGTGACGGTCGGTATAGACCTAGGCGTCGGAATCGCAGGAATGTCAAAGTCGAGCAGTGAGACCTTTGAAGGGGATCGAATGGATTCTCGAAGAGTCCTCAACGGCGAACGTCGTGAGGGCGAATATCGCTCCTTCTGTATACTATAGCGTTGACGTGGAAAGAAGTTTGTCTGATCTGTTAGGTCAAGCAAGTTTGGCGTTTCGCTTGCGTTTCCCGTTTCCCTGCGTTCTCGCCTCTTGGGAGTGGGAGAAGCGATGGGAGTGCCGATGTCGATGAGTGCGGATTGCCTTTGTGATCTCCTGGAAACATCAGGGGTAGCTGGTGCAGGGCTTCGGGATTGATTTTCGTCCGTTCTTCCCGGGCTGCTGGGTAATAGTCGAGCTGCCTTGAATGGCGAGTCCCCTCGCAGTTTAGCGAACGATGTCATGTCTGCGTTAGGAACGGCGGAGAAAGTACTGAAACATGTGTCATCCATGGGATCATGAGTGTCGTCATTCATAGCATCATCCAAGTTCTCCTTTTCGGAGAAAGAATCATCGTAGTCATTATGTTCGTCAAGGACAGTGCTCATTCCCTCATTGCACTTTTCCTCTACCGTGCTATTGGCAATTTCGGGTGTAGTTGCTCCTGTGATCTCTCTTTCATGCATTTGGGGCCCCTCATCGGCGTAGACTTGAATGTCCGGTATGTCCCGTTGGCTCAGTCCCTTTTTGCTTCTATCACTAGATCTTTCCATCGCATCCTCGTCTTCTGGACAATGACTGTAGGAGCGCTTTCTGGGAGTCATGGAGCACTCGCTTAGTCCACCCGACACCTGTCGGTTCCCGAGCATCCGAAAGTCAACTGTAGCGTCTCGACCATCGTACTGAAACGGCGAGCTGGGCTGTTCGTCGACAGATTCAGGAACTTCGACATCCAGAATGGGATCCTGCGTGCGATACGTAGGTGAATAGCGCCCACTTTGGGGGGTATTTGTATTCGCGCCGTCGATCGTTTTCTTCGGACTCGGAAAGATATTCTCGGATTCGCTCTCATTCACCAAAGACTCATCTGCCACAGTCATCTCGACTTCCAATCCATTAAAGCCCGTCGAAAAGGCTCGCGAATTCTGGCGCGAGGTCGTCAACGGAGACAGAGGTTTGGACATGACAATCGTGAATGGGTTTTCGTTAAGTGAAGAGCAAGGGGGTTGACATATGAATTGTATGTGTTCAAACAATGCTTGTAGGCCCTAGAAACATCGACTCAAGGTGAGTGATAATGATATGCACAGCAACGGTTAATGTCTGACTCGAGCAGTGCAAGGACAGTTAGTGATGTGGTTTATTATTATTTTCGGCTCGTTGCCAGGATGATGCTGTAAACAAAGCTATTCCTGATGGGATTTAGCACAGTGGCTAAGCGGTGTAACATGGCAATTCCGTGTTCTGCTCTTACCGCCTTTTGTAGTACAAAATGAGAGATAAAACGGCCTCTATCAGTGTGGATAAGCCTGCCAAGGACTATGGAGATATTGCCTACGCCTTGATGTGAATTGGAACAGTGATAACTCTCTAGAATCTGCAATATTTATTCTGATATTTGATGCTACAGGAGAAAACTGAAATCTTAATCTAGTGATCCGTGACCACTGACACCGTACACCAAAACGCCATTTTTGTCGCTAATCATGAAAGGTGAAAGGAAGCCCCCTAGCAGTGGTATCACCCATAGATAGTATCTCTAATCTATGTCAAAAAAGAATAATGGGGGGATTGGGACGTACCCGCACCGTCTGCATCAGCATCGGTGTCCGTCACGATGATATGGATGGTCTCCTTTTGAGATCGAGACTCATCTGGAACGTAATGATAATGGCAAGGCATAGCCGGCCGAATTGTGGCGGAGGTATGCTTCTTGTGCTGCATGAAACATAGCTGCACAGCACCCACGACAGCAACTAAAGCGCTTCCCCACCATGCGATAGCAGTGAAATTCATATCAGCACCGGTGCTGTACAGGAAACCAGCAATAGGGGGAGCAATAGTCCTAGCGACGGCACCGGCAGAAGCAGCTAGCCCATTGATCTTTCCCATGACCGATTCCGAAGGGCTTGCTTGCTTAATGAGAATCAGCAGCACAGGGTAATCGATTATCGAAAGTATGTTGCGAATGATGAGGCATATATAAATGCCGAAGATGATGGAGTTTTGCGGTACAAACATGAGGAATGGAACGATGAAGTAGGCGATAGGATGCAGCACAGTCACCACCACAAATAGTCTCCAGACCCCCAGTAACTGAGCTAGAATGGGAAAAATGCAACTCTGAATAATGAGCGCGATGATGCCATCGGAAGACATAATCAGGCCGACTGTCCGTGTAGAAAGGCCGAGTCCGCCAGGGAAAATAAGCGGCCCGTTACTGAGGCCCGAAACGTTCCTGCCATTCTTGTCCTGCAAGAAAATAGGCAAGAGATGATCGTACGTCATGGAGTGGTAAGTAAATATGGATAACGCAATGATGAGCGAGACAACCCGATATGTGAAAACGGGTTGCTTTTGCGTCTTGAATTTTGAACCGTCGGCATTCACAAACCAATCTTCATCTGCCTGCAAGCGAACTTGGTTGAAGGTACCATATGATTCCGCGCGTAGATCTACACCTGCATTGGCTGTCGCTCCTGCGGTGGCCAGGAGAGGACTCTCGGCAGACGTATGATCGAGGTCTCCGGAAGCATTCTTGTGCTGCAGACCAGGATGGGTCTCGTACAAGAATAACCAGCTGCCAATCATGCTGAGAAGGAGTAGGATGGAGCAGACCAAATTTGGCAACAGGTAGGGAAATTTGCCGAAAAGACCGTTGGCGGAGAACAGAGATGGATAGCTTTCGGCGGGCTTCGCAAGCAAACCTCCAATCGCGGGACCGATAATAGTTCCAATTGACCAGACAAATGGCATGACGGCGTAGGCTCGAGCTATAACAGTCACCATGAGCTATTACTCCTGCTCCAATTGTAGGGCATCTTCAAACATTTCACTTACGTTCATGTTCTGGTCGCTTGACTAGTTCCCCAACCATTGTCTGGATGACTCCGATATTCCCGTTCAGTAGACCACCAAGAGCGCGACCTAAGAGCGCCACCCAGAAATTTGGGGCGAATCCCACAAGGAGAAGGGATAGGATGGTGCCGAAGCAACCGGACAGAAGAACCGGCTTACGACCGATACGGTCCGAAAGTCCTCCCCAGAACATACCGGTGAGGGCTTCGGCAAGAGAAAAGGCGGACACGAGGATCCCGGCATAGAAGGAAGCATCTGTGCGATTTGCTACTCGAAAATCCTTCACCATAACCCAGGAGTATGGGAATATGGACGTCAGAGCGATGGGCTCTGCGACACGGCATATTGCTGTTGCCACGAGAACGTAAGTATGTAGTGCGATAGATGACAGGTGAATCACATACCGAGCAGGAATAGCTGAGTAGTAGGAAATGCATCGTCGGAGGTGGTTTGTCTTGTCTGGCGTGTTAATACCATATCTCCAGAAAATTCTTAAATTCTTACGGCAAGCCCCCCAACACTATGGCGAGTCTCCCAGGTGATGTTTCTCTTTTTTAATGTCGGAATCCAGAAAACCCAGCCGCAGGAATTATGGTATGCCTTACGGCTTCGCAGTTATTGGGTTAATTTTCCTCGTTTTCGCTCTCTATCCTTTTCCTTGTAAAGCCGAATCTAGTAAGGCGTCAAGGTTGTGAGACGAGTGAAATATGTGAAATGAGAATCCTCAATTGAACTTGGGTTTAGGAGGATGGTCGGGGGAGGAAGAGGAAGAGAAAAGTTTGAAAGCGGGGAATGACCGCCACCGCCTTGATATGAAGGGGGAAGCCCCCGCCGGAAGGGAAAATACTGGAACCACAACCAGGTTTCTTGGTGCGCGGATCTTATTCCTGCTTCCAGGCATTTATTCCAAAGCAGATAAGATACCTCTTCAACCCATAATACAGCCTTATAACGACAAGGGTACGGCTCTATTTCACCATGGGCTAGAACATGTGCACACATCCCTTGATAGAAATATGATGTGGAAAATGGATTTGCCATCCTCTCTTGTTCAGCTGAAATACTTTCCCATGCAGCCAGTCAAGCACATCTGCCTCCTAAAATCAGATTGACTGTACAAAAGACGAGTGCTTTAACTGCAGTATACCATGGTATGGAGGTGGCAATCGGTAGTCCGCAGATCTTTTAACCCATGATATGTGGAACTCGCATATATGGTGGCAAAAATTGAATATCATAGGGCAATCTGACAGTCAAGAACTTGACTCTATAGAAGTCCACCTTGTCAGATGAGATCTTATGCAACTCTACCTCTCTACCTCTCTAGCTTGTCAGTGGAAATGTCACTTGCCAGCACTAATGTTACACTAGGACCATTGTGCATTAGACTACAGCTTACAACAGACCGGTATTTTGTTAGCGGCTGCTTTTCTAGGGGTTTCTGCTTCAATAGCCAATCAAGCTGAACTTGCAGAATGTTCACACCATGGTACGTACCCCTGCACTCTATTGTAACCACCTATATGTATATAGTACCTTCCTCGAAAGTGAGCAGATGTCTGATGTGGACAACCAATCATGTCGCTATGGCCCAACTGGTTACATGTTGACTTATGCAGATGTCTGCCTCTCTCTCCCATGTTTCTTCAGCAATGTTCTTCTCAAATGCCAACTGAATACTATACAGAGATGCGTGACTGCTTCATAATAGAGCTCTCAGTCCTGTGATCCACATGATCGGCAGCAGTTCCGGTCCCCAAGGCTGTCGAGATGTAAATCCTGGATTTATTACATTAGTTGAATCTCCATATGAACTTCTGTCGTCCCCTTGATTAGCACATACAACCATAGGGTGTGGAAAACAGGGCTTCCCGTCCGCTCAGCCGTACTTAAGCCACACGCCGGCCGGTTAGTAGTTGGGTGGGTGACCACCAGCGTCCCGGCTGTTGTATGTTTTTTTGTATATTTTTGATTTGTTGGGTTTAGTGTCCTTGCCGCCCTGTCTTCAGCCCCTTCAGTGTCTTCGCCTGAAGCTCACCTGAAGCCGCCTACCCCTCTAAATTTCACCCATTTCGCCCCTTATATCTCAATAACCACCAGATATTTTAAATCAATATTTCATATTTAGATAGACTAGATACTAGGCTATCTAGTGATATTAATATTTCTAGAGAAATCCTAGGAATTAGTGATTTCTATTTAAAATGGATTGGGCGGTTTCACCTAACCCGCAAAAACCGCAGAAATCAAAACCAACGGTTTTCACCGAACCCGAATCGGGCCTGGGGTAGGGAACTCGAACCCGAAGCGATTCCCTAGGCTAGGCCCTGAGCCCGACCCACTGCGGGTTCGGCGAGGGTTGGATTCGATTTTTGCGGTTCGGTTATGATGTTAAATATCTCTGCAGCATGGCAAATGCTTGAAATTTCATTCTTTTCAAAGCAGATATTACTAGTTAAATCCTTCCCTCTTGCTCCACCAATTTTCCAGGGGTTTGACGCGGTTTTAATGGCATTTTGGTTGATTTGGATAGCTTCAGGATTCAAACGCGTTGAAATTCGATGAGGGTGGCCGGCTCACCCAGGAATTACGTTATTCTAAAGTAGAAGACCTATATTTCTAATAATAATAGAGGAGATAATAATAATAGAGATAAGGGAGAGGGGCATAGAGTATTAGTTTATAACTAATTAATAACTAGTTTAAGAGAAAAAAATATAAATAAGGGGGGTGGGTAGTAAGAGAGATATATAAGAAGGTAAGTTATAGTATTAAGGTTAGTTAACCTTTATAGTGGAGATATGTCATAAGATCAGGGTTATCTCATTCACTATTTTACCTCAGCTACATTCACCCGAACTCCTCCGAAGGGTGGTGTCACCTGTAACCTGAATCCAGGCGTATCCCGTATGTACCCCTATTCTAAGGAAAAAGCAAGGTTCTAATGTGTGACTGAATGCTTAAGCGGTTTCAGGTTGTCGGTGTAGGGTCGGCACCGGCTTACAGTATACGAGTGTAAATAGTATCTGCATCCCTGCGGATAGAGGTTATATAGTATCGCTGACAGTCCTGCAAGTATCGCTGCTGAACTTAGTCCTTGGCGAACTTCCTTGTCAATTCCACTAGGAGAAGATAGAAATAGTCCCCACCTCGTCACTTTCAAATCCCTGGGCCTGGTAAGATAAGATTACGTGCCAAGGACAGAATGTCAAACTTTGAAGAGGTCCGCACGGACGACTACCCCCAGCTCAGTCGTCCATTTGAGTCGATGAAACCAGACTACGACGTCGTGGTTGTCGGATCTGGTTATGGAGCTGGCGTTGCGGCAAGCCGAATGGCTCGGGCTGGGAAGAGTATCGCAGTGCTAGAGCTGGGCTGGGAAAGAAGATGTATGCATGTTCACCTACATTGCTTTCCCGTTCGGATGACCTATCACTATTAGTTCGCGCTAACTCCTCGCAGCCGGTTCTTTTCCTCATACTCTCTTCCAGTGCTTGGGGGATATGAACATTTCTGGAACCTCTGCGAAGAATTCCAATGTTTCAAGATGGCTCTCGTCTGCAAAACCGACGCGGCTCTTCCAACTGGTGCTCGGCGATGGCCAGCATGCTTTCGTTGCTCATGGTAGTTTAGACCCTGCTTGTCACATATCTCAAGTTGATTTTGACTGGAATATAGGACTCGGAGGATGTTCACTCATCAATGCCGGAGTCTTCCTTGAAGCCGACGAAAGAACACTACAAATGAGTCCATGGCCGCCAGAAATCAGAAAACACCCTTCAGCGCTCCGAACCTGTGAGTCTCCTTCCAGCAAATACCGCGCAATGTGCCCAGTAACCGGTTCGACCAGACTACTCACGCGCGGCAACTATGCTGCAACCCTCCGCATATCCAGAGGATCATCCACGCCTGAACAAGTTAGAGCATCTTCGAGAGCAGTCAAGATGGCTGGGCAAAGGACAGAGTTTCTATCGAGTGCCGCTAACTACGTTCTTTCACGGCGGCCGCAACAACGCGGGCGTTGCGATGCAGGCAAATAGCGGATCCGGTCACGAGTGCACCGGTCTTAACGATGGGTCGAAAAACTCGGTGGCCACTACCTATCTTGCGGATGCATGGAACTGGGGCGCGGAGATCTTTTGCGGATGTGAGGTGCGATTTGTAGAAAAGGCACCCGGAAAGGGTTACATTGTATACTTTGCCTGGCACGGAAGCGGGAGGTCGGTGTTCAACGAGGATTTCAAGGAGCAGCTTTTCTGGGTTAAAGCCGTAAGCTATAGTCTTGCTGATCCGTCAGGCTCTATACTACGGGACTGACTCTCAAATGTTCCAGAATGAACTATGCTTCCTTGCAGCAGGTGCTTTAGGCACTACTGAAATTCTGCTCCGCTCGAAGGAGCGCGGCATGCAGATGTCTCCGCTAGTTGGAAGGAATCTATCCGGCAATGGAGACCTCTTGATGTTCGGTGAGTCTCCGCTAATCAAGCACATGTGCGTGTCTGATACTAGTAGGCTACAACAGCAGCGCCAATATCAATGGAATTGCTCAATCGTCAAGCGCTCGAAGCCGGCCCGGGCCAACAATCACCGGCGCGATCGATAACCGAGCGTCGCATAACCCTCTCGCTGGATATATCATCCAAGATGGCTGCATCCCTGAACCGTTAAATCCCATTATCCAGATCATGTTCATCCTGCAGACTATCGGGAAGCATTCACTTCAGCTTGGGAAGACCATCGCCGCGCTGAAATCTCTCCTCCTAGGCCCGTATGCCCATGGCGGGGCTATCCAGCGCACCTCAACGTATCTTGTCATGTCGCACGATAGCAATGAGATAACCTTGACCTTGAAAAACGGTCAGCTGTACCTGCGAGCACCCGCAGAAGGCAGATCTGCCCACTTCAAGTGGATCAAGGCCATACTGAGTGAAGTGTTGGGCCGCTCAGAAGCAAATATCGGGTTTTCGTACTTCTATGGTAACGCCTCACTGCACTCTTCACGGACGGGGCTAATCGATTATAGGCCGCCATCAAGAGGAAATTACGGTTCATCTGCTTGGGGGAGCCAACATGAGTCGCGACGGCACAGGAAGGGAAGGTGTAACTAATCACCTTGGACAGGTCTTTACTGGACATGGAAGCGAGGTACATGAGGGTCTACTATGCTGCGATGCTTCGATTATCCCGACTGCGTTGGGTACGTTATACAAGTTTGATGGGCTGGCTCGTGCTGATAGGCTAGGTGTTAACCCCCTCGCAACGATATCTGCTCTTGCAGAGCGATCTCTCAGCTTGATCACCGAGAACTCTGGATTATCGATTGACCTGGAGACTAAAAATGGTAGTCTGGATGCTTGCAGCAAGCCAAAAGTATCACGTTCCGACCATCAGCTGAATAATGTGAATGGCAGCAACGAAACATCACAACCTATCGGATGGCAGTTTACGGAGCTTCTACGGGGCCATATTTCTGTTGAGCCAAACATTAAGAGCTTTGCACTTTCCGAAACGGCAGGGAAGGGCTCATCCTGTGCGTTGCAAATGTTTCTTACGGTGGAAATCTGCAAGAGGTCAAAGGGTAAGCGACCCGATACCACAAAGAAGGAGTGCTTACGTTCTCAGATATTCGAGGATCGCGGTACGAAGGCATTTGCACTGGCACAGTGTCCTGCTTCGCATTGTCTAGAGCCACCCTCAAAGTTCTGAGTGGCACGGTGGACTTTTTCACACAAGTGGAAGCGAGCGCAGAGTTGACAACTATTTCATACCACCTGCAGCTCATCTCGGTAGAGGGCACGCAGTATCGCCTGGAGGGACGCAAAGACATCGACTCGAACATAGCCTTTTCGATCAGAAAGACTTGGGAAGCCACAACTACGGTGAATGTTAGTATCGCTCGACTGGACGGGACGAAGGTTGGAGCCGGTGCGCTTCACATCTCATTGCCTCACTTCCAAAAGCAGATGAGGACGTTTCGGATGACGAAAGATTTCAACGTTGGTCTTCTCCTATCTCTGATGGCCTTCTTGATCTCTTTTACGTACCATCTCAGCATGTTCTTCTTCCGTCCCTTCGTGCCAGTGCGGTTCCCCCACACCGGATATACCTCCGATTCGAAAACCCTTCCCTCAAGCTCCTGCAAAGTCATTGCGAGCGATGGCGTACAGACGCTGCTTGAAATATACGACCCGCTCTCTCCGCTGGACCCCCTGCATCCGGACTCAAAGCACCCACCAGTCCTGTTTCTCCCCGGAGTCACAGGCATAGGCGCCATCCATAGCGTGTACGCGCTGCCATTCCTGAGCCGCAACATGGTCGACTATTTCACAGCGCGCGGGCATCGCTGCTACGCACTTGTTCCCCGCTGGGGCTGTGACGCAGCCACGGCAGAGGAGTCCACCGTGTTCGACTGCCGACTTGACGTGGCCGCCGCATTAGAGCACATTAACACCAGAGAACAGCAAAAACCCTATGTCATGGCCCATTGTCAAGGATCCGTGGCCCTCGGCATGGGATTGCTGGACGGGACTATCGCAAGCAGCCAAGTCCTCGGCATCACTGCGAACTCCGTGTTCATGAACCAGGTCTTCGGCTACTGGAACTCCCTGAAAGGACGGACCACTCTGCTGATCCGTCTCTACGAGCTGCTTGCGGGGACCTTCTTCCCGGTTGCGAGCAGCGATAGAGACAGCGCTTTTCAAAGACTGCTGGACGCGCTCCTGCGCTTCTATCCGTTTGCACATCGACGGGATGTCTGTACTTCCACAGCCTGCCGCCGCACGTCGTTTGCGTTCGGTTTGCTCTGGAACCATGATAATCTTGATGTGCATCTCCATGAAAACGTCCATGAGTTCTTCGCGGGCACCCATACCAAATTGCTGAAACATGTCGTGCGCATGGGAACCCGGGGCTTCTGCTTGGATAATCAGCTACGTCCCCTTCTGACGGCCGATAATGTTCAGAGGCTACAAGGCGTACCGATTCTGTTTATCTCGGGCACGGAGAACGAGGTCTTCAATCCGGAGTCGACGCTGAGGGACTATGAGTTGTTACGGCGCCGATTTGGCGAGCGGCTCTATCGCCGGTTTTTGGCGGAGGGGTACGGGCATCTTGATCCTATTGTTGGAAAGGCTGCTGCGGATGATGTGTATTGGAGGGTTGGTGAACATCTCGGATGGTGTGTTAAGAATGTCGTCTTGACAAAGGTTTAAGATTTTCTTGGTCATGGTACACTTGGGCGAGTGTTAATTTCTTGATTTCTGTAGAGCAAGTCCTGCACATAGGGCATTCCATAGTGAGCTCCAAAATACCCAGAGTTGGTATATATCGCCCGTTATTGTATTGTATTTAGATATCTAGATACCTGCCTAGCTACTGTATGTACAAAATACCTAAACTATGCACGTGTCTATGCGTGGACAGCTTTCCCCTTTCTGTCTCTCTTTTTCTCACTATTGCGACGAGAATTGATTTAAGGATTGAATTAAGAATATCTGCCATTGGTTACGTAGCGAATGGATCCCATCTATTCCCATCCAAATACGGCATTTAGCAAGTAGTACTCCATAGCCCGAAGCCTGTGAAAATACCATCGATCACCACTGAACCCCTGCCCGTCGCCCAACTCGGCAATACAGCCACGGACTCTACTAACCAGCTCCAGAAGTTAGTCCTTTAATCAGTCTTATCAAGACTCCTCTTCTTCCCTTAAGGGGGTGAGTAGCAGTGTATATTATTCAGGTGATATTCTAACTTAGCAAGACTGCTCAGCTTAACAAGACAGGCTAGATAATAGTAATGAAATTCACTAGATAATACTTCATAGTTTAGATAAGATTATATGATCTCTCGTGCATGCACTCTTTAGAAACAAAGTGAAACCTGATATGTCACTTTCACTACCTATCAAGAGAAAGACGATGACTCTTTCAGTAAGTAGAACAGTTGAAGCTTCTGCAGATCATTACTGATGAGCTAACACTGTGTGATCAGACTGAGTCACCGAAATCCCTGAGCCTTGAATCCATGACTTATGCGCTTTGTACTCCTCGGTGTGGAAGGAACTTAATCCCCAGGCTATAATTACAAATGCACCAACCACCGAGAGAGCAGTCAGGCTCGCCAGAACAATGGGAGGTCGTGAAGATGGAATGCAGGTACTTGTAACGGGGAGCTTATACATGGTTGGCGGAGTACTCAGATTCATGAGACCATCGTCGCATTAAGGTAGGCGTTAATGTACTAGTGTTCAGTCGATAAGTCGATTTGACCTTTACCGTTGAGCTTTTAAGCCAATTAACCTGCTGCGAGGGGAAACCCCTTTGGTCTGCGTCCGGAGGGTAATGTCTAATGATCCTCAACCTGTACAACTAACGGATTGTTCCTATTTGTCAGCGGATCCAAATCGACACCAGGTCTTGTAGGTCTTATATTCCGTCGGTGAGCACATGAGCAACCCTAAGCCTCTGCTATTGAAGCGCACTGCGCAAGTTGCGTGAGAGGATGCCGGAAACAGCGTAGCAGAATGAAGTTTTCATAGAGGGTATCGCGAAACCAAGCCAAGTAATAAAGAAGTTGAACTGATGTATCGATCAACGGACAATCATCCTGGTATTGATTGCTAACGTTCAGCGTTCTCAGAAACTGGAATATACGATCGTCTTTCTCGTGCTGCCTGAACATATCAAGTTAGTCCGCTGTTCTGAAGAAGCTCGTCCCTGACCACCCCATACCTCAAGCCACTTTTCTACCCACGGCTTGCAAGCTGCCCAGGTCAGGAGACCGCTGGTGGCGATGATGAAGATGAAGACTATAGCCTCGTCCTTCCTGGAATCTCGCTCTGATTGCCACAAAGTCAGCCGATATAGCTCCAGAGAATATGGGATAGCCTGTGTCAAGATTACTTCGACCAGGCAGTGGAGGGCTAAACCATACGGAAACAGGTTGTGAAGACATCGTCTTCCTTTGCGCCTTTACACATCGGTAGATTATAATCCAGGCAGAACTTGCGATTGCAATCATTGCAACTCAGAGCGCGATATTTGTTGACTCTTTTCTCGTGAGACGTAGCATTGTCATCGCGAAGGTCAAAGGAATTTAGAGGCGGTGTCGATTCGGGATTCGGAGAGTCCAGGGGTATAATCGTGCTATTTGTAAAGCAGGTACATTTGCAGAATGATGCTGGCGCTAGTCATCAAATAGGGATTGTCAGTGGACAGCCACCGAAGGTCAGATAGCGATGGGAGGGTCGAACTCACTGGAAGCTAATGTGAAGGATGTACAGGACAGAAGCGCTATGACCATGAAGAGAAGATGGAGACTGCTACTCCGGGGTGACATGACGTAGATATAACTTAATAAGGAAGAAGAATATAATCTTTAATTCAGCAGCGATATTTCCGTGTAGTAGTCATTTTTGGTGTACTGTTTATACTGCACGATACGACGTACACGGCGACATTGCCGATGATAGCTTTCCCCCAGACACTTGAAGTCATGTGACTTGCCGTACTTGTTGCAAGCTACTCCGTACTATATTTGCGGAATGGGTAGAAGTCTCTATTTTATACGCCAAAATATATGATCTGACATCGACGGAACCACGAACCATCTGATCAGGATTTTCCCTTCATTCCCTTTCTGCGGTTCTCCCGTTGTCTTTGTTCCTTGGCAGCATCGCGCCGGCGCTTCTTCCAGGCACGGTTGTTATCTCCACGATTCTCCCAAAACCATTTGGTAAATTCCGAATCGTCTTTCAACCCTGCCTTAGTTTCAGACCTAGCAATGGGAGTGTCTGTGTATTCCTCAGTCACTTCCATGGCATTAGAATCATCATTGTTCCAATCGAATTTTCGGTTGATCAAGGCTGTGTCTGGTGTTGGAGCAGCACTTCGTAATTCCCGACTTAGTAGATCCTTCTTTGTGAAGGGCGTCTGTGGCTCCTTATTCTGCTCTTCCTCTTCTTCAGATTCGATGTCATCCCGTCCGAAGAAGCTGAATTGGGTGATAGTTTCCGGGGCGGGTTTGCTATCTGAAGATTCGGCAGCAGACCGCTTGAAAAGGGCTTCTAAGGGGTGCACCTCCTTGGAATCCGTTCCATGAGTGGTTTGCGCAGAGGGCGCAGAACTACCAGATACTAGCTCAGGCTCGTCAGTCTTCGGAGGCGAAGACACATTTTCCTTTACCGGCAATGTATGTAATTGTTGCTGTTCGTCTTGGCCGAAAGACGCGCTTGATTCAGAAGATGCAGACGACATGCTGTCTTCGCTGTCTGAGTCTGTGCTGCTGTCACCAGATGACGTCGTCCCACTAGAAGATGTCCAATCCTCTGACTCATCTGCCGAGTCAATTCTGTCATCCTTGGATTTCTCAAGATGCGTCTCCTGCGCCGTCGGAGGAGATTTCACCGACTTTCGCTTCTCTTTAGCCCCGGCGACTTGCCCCGGCCGATATTGGTCTTTTCTCAAACGGTCACTAATCGTCTCCTTGAGGTTTCCTGCATGGTCTATCCAACCTTTGCCTTCCTCAAACGCAGATGTAGGTGCTGCTCCATCTCCTTCCGACCGTAAGAAGCTCGGCTGGGTGATAGTTGTAGCGAACTCATGGACAACGGATTCCAGGGGAGCTTTCTTTTTCTTCTTTGCCTGCTTTTCCTGCTTCCCGTCCGGAGACGCAGATCGGTTCTTGGGTATTTTGGTTCGGAAGAGGCACTCTGATTTCTCAGTATACTTCGATTTTGCTTGGGGCTTTGCCTTTTTGTCGTCCTTTCCCTTCTTCATCTTTTCATCCTTACGCCTCTCTTTCTTAGCATTGGTCGACTCTGTCCACCCTCTTTTTACTTGACGGCCGGACGGCAGCTCGTATCCATCGAGAACGTTGTCATGGGCCTTGCGCTTTTTGGATACTTTGTCGGACGTAGACTTTGTGGTGGACGTGACAGTGTCGGCTTCAACTTCCACTTCTTGTCGTTTCGGTGACCGTGCAGTCTCGACTCTAAACTTTCTTCCTTTCAAAATTGAACCATTGAGTTTCTTTTTGATCTTATCCGCCTCCATTGTCGGCAGTGTCACGTAGCCGTAATTGTTCTCAGGAAATGTTGGAATGCTATGGAAAGAGATATCTGTTGCGGACGGTCGGACCGAAGACGGTAGTACAGAAGGTAAGAGATCCGGAGTGAAAGGAGTGATGTGTAGGCGCGTGGTCTCCGATGCTGTGGTAGTCATTTGCTGTATCCAGAGATCCTGTGTATCTTTGTAGCGACCGATGAGTTGGAACATATACTAGAAATTTCAAGAGAGGTGCATCTGATTGGATCATGCAAGCGAGGGTCTCTGAAATGAACACGACGACGACAGAATCAGTGACATTTGAACTGGCTCTCCTAAAAAATTGAATGCAAATGCGAGCCGCAAAGTAGCTGAGCAGACAAAAAATAATGTTCTTGGCATTGGGATTTTCGACCGCCCAGATCCAGGCGCGGGTGTGGCGCAGCAAGCCAGCTCACTAGCCACATTTGATAATGTCCTGCCACAGGCCAGGTAGATGCGCGGTAGGTACTTGAAGAGGTACCTCCATACATAGGTACACAAGAATGCATGACATCGGACCCGAAGGGTGTTGTCATCATTATCATAGAGCAAGAGAGAAAATTGGAGAGACTAGTACATACTTCGGTAGCCTCAACAGACTGAACTGCAGTATTAAACCTTTGTACCTTGCTTCCTGCTCCGTACCTAAAAGTGCGACTGTGGGCAGCACGGAGTACTTCCGTATAGAGGTACGGAGTATGTGTCCACATTGATGGCAACCCCACTGTCATCGATCTACAGAATAAGGGCGTTTATAAGGGTCTAGCCAGTGTACGGAGTAGCCACAGCCTCTTTGACGGAATGGATGACTGCATGTTACCTGTCATATTACCAAATTTACAGGCAGAATGTGCCTTTTGCGCTAGTATTGCTGGTAAGGTATGCATGTATGTATGGGCTATTACCTTGCCATTATTGAACTCAAAAGTCATAACTTCAACTATCTTGGGAGCCCGATCCTCCCTCTCCAAATCTTGTCTCTTTCCCAGTCCCTTCCTACTCTTTTGAAAGCTCACGCTGTCAGTATCTTCGAGTATTTCTCTTACTATTGTTTTCAATACTTCTCTCAGTTCCCAAGTTTGATACCAGATCTCCGACTTCTCTCCCTGATCCGGCGTATTCCA